AACAAAAAAATATACCTAATGTAAAAGTTCAAAAGAAAAAAACTCAACTTTCAATTGAAATTCAAAAGAATCCCATTTATTTTTGAAACAAAATTTAAAAACAAATTTTATTGCGAAATCATTTACATTATTTTTCAAAGCTTATTTTTAAAATGTTTATTTTCTTTAAAAGGGAAGTTGTACACTCTTTTGTTAAAAAGAAACTCTCTTTTTTTTGTTATTATTAAGAGAATGAATATACTGTTTTTGCATAGAGATTTCTACTGCCGGGTTTTTGCCAAAAAATAACGGTAGCTCGTGGATGTCAAAATGGGTTGTCGGACTCTTTGCCGTCATCAGAATATTGTCAGATCTGTTCATCGATGGTTGTTGGAGGGTGTCGAGGTCATGATGCTGCTAGTCGCCGCAGTGGTTGAGGGAGATTGAAAAAAATGGGTGGTGAGAATAACACAGAAGAGAGAGACGTRGATTTGAGAGAGAATGAAAGAATAATAAAACAAAAAATGGTAAATAAAATAAAATTCTCTTTTTATTTAAACAAAATCTTTTTAATAAAATCAAATTTTATTTAAACAAAATATTTTTAATTTCTTATTAATAAAATCAAAACCTTTAAATAAATCTATTTTTTTAATTTAAGTTAATTTAAACCTCAGCTTAAAACTAATAATGAACTAATAATGAAGTAAAATTATGTTATTTTTAACCCAAACAGTAAAACTTAATAAAATAAAAATAATAATAATAATAATAATAAAATTTGAGTCGGATCAAATACAGTGTCGTGGAAAAGTGTGGGTCGGTAGGTTTTTTTTTTTTAAGAACCGAAGTAATATTAATTAAGAATTCAAATAGCTACTAAAATGGTGATTTAAGTTTTTAATAAATGCAGTTATGTACTTTAGAAGGAAAAAAAACCAATTTCTTTGTTGAATTTTATATGAAAAAAAGTTATTTGTTCGATTTTATTAAATTTCATTTACAAAGCCATGTGCGTGTGGTTATATAGTGGGACGCCATATTTATGCATATTTATTATTCATTTAATATGGAGATCTGTTTTAATTGTTTTAATTTTACAACAACTAGAGACCCATTCCAGATATTCAGATTAAGTACCACTACAAGAAAAATGAGTTTCAGAGACACAAGAAAAATGTCGCTGAAAACCCAATTTTGTCGCTAAAAGTTTCAGCGACGAGACCTTGTTCGTCGCTGCGTACGTCGCAGATAATACGTCGTTTAAAGTTTCAGCGACATCATCATCTGTCGCTGAAAGACATTTTCAGCGACATCTTTTATCTGTCGCTGAAAGACATTTTCAGCGACATCTTTTATCTGTCGCTGAAAATGCTTTTCAACGACATAAATCGTCATCTGTCGCTGAAAAGCTCTTCCAGCGACATACTTGTCTGTCTCTGAAAATCTCTTCAGCGACGCCGTCAATTGACAGCGTCGCTGAAAGTGCTTTTTCAGCCACATTTACTTCACGGCATCGCTAAAAACGTATTTTCAGCGACATTTGGTTGACGGTGTCGCTGAAAATGAATTGTAATATCCGGAAGTGGGTTTTATTCGGGATAAAATTACATTTTCAGCGACAAATTCCGCTTATGTGTCGCTGAAACTGTTTTCAGTGACGCCGTCAGTTGACGGTGTCGCTGAAAGGGCACTTTCAGCGACAATTTGTTAACCTTGTCGCTGAAAATAAACTTTCAGCGACATATGGTTGAGGGCGTCGTTGAAAAGGAGCTTCAGCGACATCACATGTTAACGATGTCGCTGAAAGATCATTTTAGTGACATTGTTGTTAATATGTCTCTAAAAGTTTGTCGCTGAAAACTCCGTTTCTTGTAGTGTAGTGTGGGTGGATTACCTCTTATTGGTCTTCTTTTCGCCATGCCAATGATCTCTCAGAAGCTTCTCCCTAAACGGCGACTACTGGTGGCGTCCTCGTAGGTCCTTCTGACGGGTGGTCTAAAGCTTAATACTGACGCAACTTGTGGTGTCGCTAATCAATCCACTGGTTTGGGCTACCTTTTGAGAGATTCGTCGAGTTCAATTTTTGCGGYTGGGTGCCAATTTCACTCTTCTCCCCACAATTCCCTAAATCGCAGAACTATGGCTATTAGAATAAAACCARTGCTCGATATGCCAGAGCCAACCTCAGCGAAGAGGGGCTGTCCTTAACAGAATATATTATTTCAAGCTCGTAAAGCCCTTCGCATTCCTAATCCAATGGGGAGATCTGGATACTCTTGGCCCTGAGAAAGTTGTCCTTCACGCTCGCAATTCTGAAGTCTGTTCTTTCATGCATGTTTCACGGGAGGCGAATCGGATGGCAGATCTTCTTGCCAAGCGTGGCTTCACGTTTGTAGCTCCATTGAAGGGAAGCAAAGCTTTCTCCCTTGACTTTTGCGTGTTGCTGACGGGGAGTTTCATTCTTCTGTAGCCCCAATAGATGTTTCTCATTGATAAAACTTTCTTCTTAAAAAAAAAACTTTTCTAAATATAATCCTTCTCTGAATATTTAAGAAAATAAAAGTAGAAACTAATCAAAACCTAATTCAATTAAGGCACCTACTTATCACTAATAACTCGTGAGTTCTAATTCTCGGTATGTCCTTAAAAAAAATTAATAAGTAGAGAGAATTTTAAAGTCTTAAATAGTTTTATGTACCTTTTTAATTTAAAAACAAATCAAGAAGAACCAAAAATATAACACAACCGTTCAGGCATATGTTTTGATAAAAAAGCTATTGGACTAAAAAAAAGATAAACGAAAAAATTGCCTTCCTTAGGCGAATTATTGTGCTCCAATCCTGTTTTTGTCTAATTTTATTAAGGTATTTATAAAARGAATAAATGAGAATTAGGAACCAACATAAAATCTTATAAAATTTAAGAATAAAAATAAAATAAATACAAAAATAAACTAAAGATCATTTTAGCTCTAAAATTTGTGCTTCAGGTAGGGAGCTCCTTTATCCACGTCTCATTGTATTTTTGTTTTTGTTTTTTTCATTTGATTTCTGATTTCGACGATGTTATTGTAGGTTAAACTTCATTTTCATAGTAGTCTCGACCCGTTACTATGTTGTATACAATGGTAGGATCAATTTCCGCTTAGACCGGTTGGATTCCAGTTTCCTTTGCAAATTCAAATCTTTCTTTTAAGGATAGTGCTTCAGCAAATTCAACCCCAATCTGTCATCTGATAAGTCGTTTAGCCTCTATCGTAATTACTTTGGTGGAGTTGCAAATAACTATTCCCAAACCAATGGATATCCATTGATAATTGATGCATGAGAGTTCATTTTGTAGGTATTTTGTTTATGGTATGTTTGATGCTCAATCACYGGGGTATTTGCTATTGAGAAGTTGTTCAACTAGTTGTGAGTGTGGTTGTTCTCCTCATTCATTTCATTTGTTTGTTTTGAGCGGCTTGAAACTCTTCTACATATCTCTTTGATGAGATCTTTAATATTTTTTCTTTTCTAATTAAAAATATTGTTGTTTCTCTATTTTTTATCGAGGAATTTTATAGTTTCTATAAATCTCCCAGGTTTTCTCTAGTTTTTTACATTCTCAATAAAAAACTCAAGCAAGTTTGTGATTGAGGCTATTTAAAGAAGAAGTATTCTCATCCTTTCTCCTCTGCCATGCAGTTAACTATTAATACTCTGGAATACATAGGAAGCTTCTACTGATTTTTTTTAGTTCATAATACATTTTGTCTTTTATCCATGTATAGAAATGAATACTCTAAAGGCCTTTATTATACACTTCTTAGCTTGACATTATTCGAAGAGGCAAATGACCCACCTATTCACCATCCAAAAGTAGGAGCGTGAGTCCTTGAAAGACTACGTCGGCTATTTCAAGGAAGAGCAAATTAAAGCAGCATATTACTCATATGACACGACCATGCCTTCCTTCATCTCCGGCCTCAAAAGACAAAGGCTTGATCTGGTCCTTRAGCAAGGAGTCAGTGATGACCTTCAACAAAGTTCGCTGCACGGATTTCTTGAAAAACGAAGTTATAGGCACGTAGGTTCTGAGCTAAGAAGTATATTGATGTAGAAGAGTTATTGAAATCTCAAGACTTTAAATATGATAGTAACGACAGGTTTAATTGACCATAACGACAAGTCTACTTAATCATAGAATGTAAAAGAAAATTTTTAGCTCTCCTCAGTTTAAAGTTTCCTTGGCAGTGCAAAGCAAATCAAGAATATCCGCATAATTTATCCAACTCCTACCAAATTCCAATTTACATGATACTTTTAATTTTTAACAGTTTTACAAGCAAAATACTATAGTTTTATAATTTTCAGTTTAGTTTATTGGTTAATCTCCCACCTTTATTCAAGTAGGATTCAAAATAAAATATTTAAACATTTAAGAACATTAAATTTTAGGAAACAAAATAGTTCATAAGGTTCACCCATGAATCCATGTATTTTAAAATCTTATAATTAGTTTCATTAACTATCAATTTTATATCTAATTAGTTACTACTTTAACTTTATTAATTTAACAATGATGCTATTATATGCTTCCATTTGTCCGAAACTAACATCCAAGCCATTGGTGGGGACAGGGACAAAATGTCTCTAATCCCTGGGTAGTCTAAATGGAAATTTCCTAATCCATTCGGGATGGGTTTCCTGAGAAAATAATATTTCTAGACATAATTTATAAGACATAAAATTGGTACCTATGGATATGAGTTTAGCTCAATTATAATTGACATATATTTCTGATCTCTAACTAAGAGATTATGAGTTCAAATCTCTCACTCTACGTGTTGTATTAAATACCTTAAATCAACCTTGTGGTCATGAAAATTAAAAAGTACAAGAAAATAGAAGTTGGTACGAATGTTCGATTAAAAGATTATCGAAGGAGACTTATAATTTAATTGATATGAATTTCATGAAAATTAAATTTAAAAGTGATAAATACGAAGTTTTGACTAGAAAAACAGTTGAAAGAAATTCCCAAAGAAAGGACTAGCTAGGAGCAGCCATGGACCTGGTCATCTAAAGATTTGATGAAGCGAAAGCTTGGACCGTCGAACCGATTGGCGAAGCAGATCGGTCGAATGGCAATGAACAGTAGGAAATCTTCTGGTATGGTGTCGGAAAACTAGAGAGAAGAGAAGACAACCATTGCAGAGGAAAGAGGATCGGAGAGCTGCGAGAACAGTCCCCTGTAAAAACCCAAGAGCAAAGGCAAGAATAGCCTTTACGGGGGGCAATTCTCTCACAGTTCTGCTTAGTTTACGCTAATGGAAGCATCTTTTCGAGCTTGGAGTTTCGTTGTTTGACATAAACACAATAGTTCATTAGGTGCATGATCGCGTCGTTTGTTTTTCAGATTTGGTTGCAATGGAAGCGTTGATTGAGCTCTGCGACTTGATTGCGCAGAATCCAGCCCTGTTCTCTGAAAAGTTATCGTGGATTTGTAGTCGATGTCCTCCATCTGAGGTTTTTCTTGCTGGATCTCCTGCCATTTCGCGTTCTCAGCTCAATGCAGTGCTCGCCGTTGCCCGACTTCTCTCTAAATGCCCCGACTCGGTCGGTCTGCGCCCCAAATCTGTCGTCATCGAGTTTATTCGCTCAATTCCTCTGTCATTCAACTTGTCTTTCTGGCCGCAGTCCTATGGAAATGATGCTATCGCTTCGTTTTATGCTGAATTCATGAATTACACGTCGAAAGCCTGCGAATTATCCACAGAATTTGCCACGGAGATTTCGGGATTCACGAGTGAGGTTGTATTGTCTGCAATTGACGATTGCAGCGAAGGTTCGCCCATTTCTAGGGCTTTTCTCGTGGCTATGTCGAAAAGTTTTATCCCAATTCTCCCTTCGGATGCAGATAAGCTGGTTAGTTGCATTCTTGATCGTTTTTTGATATCAGAAGCTGCCCCTGGAACGCCAAGGGAACAGATTAGGGCAAACTCTGAGGCCTCGTCGTCTCAGGGTTCGCCATTGAGTGTAAGTCATCATCCGTTGAATGGAGGTTTAAGTCCTGGAAACGAGAACGGCCAAGTGTCGGGTTCCTTGAGCAGCGGCGGTTCACGTATCACTGACGACGCTACTAGTGCATCCTCAAGAGGGTCGGGGATGATGAACGGAAGCAGCCTTCTTTGGAAGAGTGGTGTAGACCAATTGGGTATGAATTTAGGAGTCAGTGAGGGTGGGGGTGTAGCTTCTGTTAGGCAACAAGTTACCGTCTTTGAAGACGAGTCTATCGAGAATTTGGAGAAGCAGGAGATTGCCTTCAAATTGGTGACCCACATTTTAGATAATTCTTCTTTTGATGCTAGACTTTGGGAGCAGATGAGAGCACTATTAAAGAAGCAGCTTCAGACATTGCCAACTTTTCTAAAGGTTAACTTTTCAATGTTAAACTTGCAAGAATTGGCAAATTAGGCGAAAACTATGCTTTCTTAAATGATTTTACATGGATTTTTTAGATAGAAGGAAGTCTAATAGTAATTTGATTGACATGTGCAGATTAAGAAGCGGGACTGGAGTGAACAGGGTTCAGTTTTAAAAGCAAGAATTAATACTAAACTCTTGGTTTATCAAGCTGCAGCCAGGTTAAAGATGAAGGCCGTTGCTTCTCTTGATTTTGATGGGAAACCGGCCAAGAAGTTGATATTTGAGACTTTTGCATTATTGATGGATGCTGCCGAAGCCTGTTTACTTTCTGTGTGGAGAAAGTTGAGAATCTGTGAAGAACTCTTTGGTTCCTTGCTTACTGGACTGGCACAAATTGCTGTTGCCCGTGGAGGTCAGCCATTACGCGTGTTGCTCATCCGTCTTAAACCTCTGGTTTTGACGGTGTGTGCACAGGTAAGTACTTTTTATTGGTTTAATTTTTTCTAGATGTAGAGAAAGTGTTACAAGATTCCTATACAAATTATTTTTTGTTCTAAATGCAGAGGAAGTAGTTAACAATTTCGCAATTTCGCAATTTATTGAATGAATTATTGCCAGGCTGACACTTGGGGCAGCAGCCAGGGGGCAATGTTTGAAAGTGTCTTGAAAACATGTTGTGAGATAATTGAATCTTGTTGGACCAAAGATCGCGCACCTGTTGACACATTTATCATGGGATTGGCAACGAGCATTCGTGACCGAAATGATTCTGAGGAGCAGGTTGGTTGTGTGAGATTGCTGAGTGAAAGATAAGTGGTTATACATTGCCTTTTTCTTTAGTATGAATTAGGAGATAAAAATTTAATCATTAGTGGATTGCCGTAAAAGTATTCTGATAACTGAAAGATCCTTATTGCCTATGGATACAATATGTAAGTTTATTTTTTCTAGCTCTATCTCTATCTCTGTCTCTCTTCTACTTTTGCTCTTTTTTTCCTTCTTCATTACTGTTATAGTGGGTGGTTTTGTTTATTTAAGTTATTTATTTATTTTTTTTAAAATTTTTTATTGAGGTTATCGACGGGATAAATGGATCTCTATGACACTAAAGTTTGTCATAAATACTCTACCTTCTTTCCAACTAAGAAAACATATAACTTTTCTGTTAGTTCAATTTTACAATCAATTTCCAAGCTCATTATGATATGGTGCACGCCAATTTCAGGATGACAAAGAGAAACAGGCAGTTCCTATGCAACTTAATGTCATTCGTTTGTTAGCTAAGATGACTGTTGCAGTTAACAAGTCTGAGGTTGTGGACATGATATTGCCCCTTTTCATTGAGAGTCTAGAAGAGGGTGACGCATCTACTCCTGGCTTATTGCGACTTCAAGTACGAACACTTTTATCTTGCTAATATTATTTGCGGATGTGGATTTATCATTTATAGCATATTGTTATTAATACTTTACTAGTTTGTTTACTACTTTCAGTTGATTGGTTTTCTATTATCTTCCTATTATTGTTACTGCAGCTTCTTGATGCTGTATCCCGCATGGCAAGCCTGGGTTTTGAGAAGTCTTACCGAGAGACAATAGTTCTGATGACAAGAAGTTACTTAAGTAAACTTTCTAGCATAGGATCTTCTGAAAGCAGAACATTGGCTCCAGAAGCAAATACAGAACGGGTCGAGGTGTGCATATCTCTATATTATGTTATTCGATTACTTTGTGCTGAATGCCCTGTGAAATGGATGCTCATGGTTCAATTACATTCTAGACACTTCCTGCAGGATTTCTTCTTATTGCCAGTGGTCTTAAGGGTGCTAAACTACGGTCGGAGTATCGACATAGATTACTCTCTCTATGTTCAGATGTTGGCCTGTCTGCCGAATCTAAGAGTGGCAGGTAGCGATGCTTTCGAATCTTTGTTACATGGTGCTTATTTTGATTATTTATGATTTTATTTTTCTTTAGCTGCATACAAAATTCCATGTTTAATGCTCTCCAAGTCTTACAGAAGTGGAGCAGATTTTCTGGGACCTCTACTGCCTGCAGTTGCTGAAATATGTTCTGATTTTGATCCGACAATGAATATAGAGCCATCCCTTTTGAAGTTATTTAGAAACTTGTGGTTTTATATTGCTCTTTTCGGCTTAGCACCTCCCATACAAAAATCTCAACTTCAGACAAAATCAGTTTCCAGTATGTTAAACAGTGTGGGAAGCATGGGTGCAATTGCTCTGCAAGCTGTGAGTGGACCATACATGTGGAATACACAGTGGTCATCTGCTGTTCAGTTCATTGCTCAAGGGACTCCTCCACTTGTAAGTATTTTACTCTTCCTTTCTCTTATTTTGGGATAAATTTTAGTCGGAAAAGAGGGCATTTATATTCTGATCTGGAGATTTTGATTTTTTATATTCTATTTTGAGCTCTTGTAAATTTCATATCATCAATGAAATTGTTTTCTATATCAAAAAAAGAAATCTATTTTGAGCAACTTTCCCTCAATGTTGTTTAATGTTTGAAGAGTCTTTCTTGCAACCATAATTTTTTAAGTTATTTAGCGGAACTCTTTTTTCGTAGGTTGTAAGTTCAGTTAAGTGGCTAGAGGATGAGTTGGAACTCAATGCTCTCCACAATCCGGGTAGTCGGCAAGGGAGTGGTAATGAGAAAGCTGCTGTAG